ATTCATCTGCAATCAAAAATGCGCCCAAATCTTTTTAGACGTTAATCACTCTAGTTTCATTTAAAAACAGTATACGTTCCCCCTCATTAAACGCATATTTTATTTTAACTGGGTGAATTATGTAACAATACATTAGTTCATTTGATAATCGAATAAATTTATTTTTGTTCGTCAATTGGTTTCGTGTACAAAATTCACTAGTATTATTAACCAGTTTGGAAATAAGGCATTTATTTGGTGGTCTAATATTTGTTAAGAGGAATGAATTGCAATATGCTTCTTCATCGATTCTGTGGCATTTCGACAAAGTTGAGTATGGTATTACTTGATAATCCGTTTTATTGGTTTTCAACAGATAATTTATTTCCTCATTCAAAATGAACGTTTCATTGAGAATTTTTCTCGGGACTGGTACAAATTCAATCAAATCAAATCCCCTACTTCTCAATATCGGTATTTGAATTATTATTGAAAGTGTGGTTTCGTTCATAGTATAGAAGCAATGTGAAATTTTTGGTAATTCTCCAATTAAAAGTGAAGGGAAGCGAGAATCTGAGTCTAAATCCCTTTGTGCTCGTGTCATTGATATTTTGAAATCCTTGACATTAACTAACTGAAAAAATTTATGATTGACTGTTCCCTCCGATAAAATGATCAGTTTAGCGGCCAAATCTCTACAGTTTTGTATCAATATTATGGCATAATGTATATGCTCAGAATTTTTTCAATTTACTCTGTGTCTCAATTCCATTGTTCATGACATCAACCAATGATTGTTGATTTATTTTTATTAGTCTCATTAAAAGATTAATTTGTGATTGCATATATATAATTCTATCGTTTAGTTCGGAAGTTGAATTATTTTCGGGCGTAATTATTTTGTTTCCGTGTGTCCTGCGTCTAGACCGATTTTTTTCTATTCTAAATTTCAATGTGTCAATTTGTATTCGTTTAGCTTGTGCGGCGAAATTATCAACAAAAAATTTACAGTTTGGGATTATTGAATCATTCGCTGTACATATCACATTCATCTGATCGAGGCATGAGTTTAATTTATTCATACTTTCGTTTATAATAGTAAGGTTGTAATCGAATCTCATCGTTTGAATGTTTTCGAAAAAGTATAATGAACCTAATGAATTCAAAACATACGATTGTGCATGCACCGAGTAAATATATGTAGTTACTAAATAAACAAATGCATTAAGCCCTCTCATTTTCGTTCTGAAATAGAAAAAACATTCAAACGATTAGTCCGTGCCACAATCAAACGTATGATTATTATATGTATATCTATGTAATAAAATTTTATGATTTTTATTACTTTTTTAAATATTTTCTATTGATTACAAATCCTTTTTCATTTAAATCTGAAACGACGGTTACGCAAAATATTTTTACCGTTACAAAATTTTCACTATAAATATGTGTTTTAGATCACAGATTTTATCAGTTGCTATTTATCCTTCAAATTGAAAAGTTGTCAATTGAAAACTAAAATGAGTTCTATTATACAAATTCGTTGTTTGCTTAGAAATTGCTGCTCATTTGCAAAATAGCGCGTCTGAGTTTGTCATGAATCAGCCAACTGGCGCGGTTACTAGAGTTGAAATTGGCGCTTCATTTGAATTGACTTCATCTGTTTCCGATCAAAACGTGGCAGAGAGTATCCCGTCTGTAAACCCATCAACTTCAACTGAAAATTATCAGTTTGGTGATCTGACCAACACGGTTGTTGACAGTGAAAATGGTTTGGTTGCCCCAAACTCAACGTTGTGGAATATGGATAGCTCCACAATGGTAAACGTGGACCAAACCATTGATTGGGGTTTTACTGATATCAATTTGCAGCCGTTTGATTCTACAGACAACAATTGATTTTTTATTTTTCACCCTTTCTCTATTTACTTTGTGTGTGTTCAATTTTAAGTGTGAAAAAATTGTGTGTTCATTGAATTATTATGTGACCATCTATTTTTGTCGGAAGGTCATGATTTTAGTATTTTTAAGGACTTTCTCAATTTAGTTTTCATTTTGAAGTTCATTTGTAAACAAAACAATAATAAAAAATAAAAATTTGAGGTCTCAATCTGTTTGTCATTACAATTTGTTTTCCCCCTCGTATTTTATGTAAATTAGGAGGTTTTTATCATGTAAAACAGGGGTGAAACCAGTTTTCGTATGAAATTGCTGTATACACACAGAGAATATTTTTTAGTATATCATACTTAATGAGGTCAGAATTTTTCTGACCATCAAAATAATACTCAATACTATTGTTGCTGTAATTATTGAAATTATGGTGGGGAAAAATGATATTGCTCCCGTGATCCAATTTGAGAGACTGCTAAATGAATTTTTAATTGTGCCCCAGAATTTAAAAGAAGACTTTTTTGCTTTTAAATCTCCAAAGTCAGAAACTATTTTTCTGAGTTCGTCTTTCTCCAATGTCGTCATATTTGTTGACCATTCGATTTTAATATCGTCGAATGTTGAGATATTATATGGAATTTCCAAGTCAGTATTCACCGTAATATTTAACCCATCAGCCGGATTTTGATATGCCGAACATTCATTCTCAAAATTAATTTCTGTGTTTTCATTTAAATTATAAATAAAATCTGCGTTATTACATTCAACTCTAATTGAAGTGGGTTCTATTACATAGCAAAAAATGGATTTGTCTGAAGTGTGCATGACATAATTTTGCGAAGGCATTTCTCTGTATTTACAACTGTTGATGATGTCTTGGTTGAGCCATTGCCGTAGTAGAGCCATTGCACATGGTAGAGCCATTGCACATGGTAGAGCCATT